AATTTTTCAATCTTTGAATGAATTATATGAAATAAATGAAAAAATTACACGTTGTATGTATTTACCAATGGGAGATTGAAGCAAGTGTACTAAAGCATTGCATCTTGCTGCTCCCGTTGAGGTCATGCCTACAATTCGCTTGGACTTTATTAATTGATATTCACCAATTTGCTTAATTTCTTCTTGCATTCGTGAAATAGATTGAAGTTTGGCCTAAAAGTAAATTTTGGTAAAATACATGTGTCGATGGACTGGATATAATGCGTTTTAAATAAACAATATTTTCATGTTTCGTTCTTCTTGGTTCTTAACAAAGCGAGAACGGAATAGTATTGTAACGGTTCCTGCTTTCTGCACTCTTATCAGCTAGTACTTGTCGGTGTCAATAAATGAATAAAACCATGAATGAAATCCTGATATTATTCACATCGATACACATGTACATCGCAAAATTTTACAATTTTCTAACGTACCTGAATTTTGGTGTACAGATCAAATGTTTCAATATCAGTATTTGAAGAATTCTGAAGTTCATTGAACTCTTGGACAGCTTCTGAATACGCCATCTTGAGCTTAAATAAGGCCGTTTTGACACGTTTATCAATGACTGCATTTTCACATAACTGTTTAATATTGAAGCGATCAAGTTGCTCGTTCTTCGATTGGTTTCCGATCCGAACAATGCTATCAGTGTATTTGAGGATGCTTGACAAAAAATGGTCTAATGCGTGGTTCGTGTAACTTATTACCACAATTTGAGCGTTTGTATTTAGGAGAAGTGTAGAAACTATTTCTAGTCCCATGTGAGACTTTCCACTTCCTGGAATACCCTGAATAATTGAAAACTGTTTCGTTATTGCATGTTTCAGCGCCTCTGCCTAGAACAAATGTGATAGAAATTTTAGTTCGTTCAAATTGGGATATTGATTAACTTACTTGGGTTGCATTGAAATTCATTTCAATCGCTTTCGGCCAAGATGATGTATTCTTCAAATCTAATGTGTGATGCTTGTAAGTAAAAACAACTTCTCCTTGTTTTGGTATATAAGTAGGATAGTGTGGCGTAGGCTAAAATTTCAAATGATTAGAAAAAATTTCAACCACATTCCCATTTCAAAGATTTGAACTTACATCAACGTCAATGATATAGTTCTTCATCGGAAATGTTTCGTCAGTAAATGATTTTAATACGTTGTATACGTGCCGATAAGTTTCGAAATAAACATCACTTTCGCACATTATAAGATCTCGATCAAATACGTTTGTTATATTATACGAATGGATTATTTCTATTTGAATCTAAAAGGATGATATTTTAATGAAGATCATTTTACTTGGTACTGTAATGTCTATATCAAATCTGACTTGCATTCTATATTACTCTATGCATTTGTCCTGGAATCGAGTCACGATGACGCCCCTGCATAATCTAATGCGACTTAGCTATGTTTACATGTTACACTTCCGTATGACGTTTGATAGTTTACTTGATTGTTTCAACAGATTGACTTTTTTTTGGTATCGTATTAAAATTTCATATCGCTTTAATGTTATTAAAATATTAATAACAAATTTTTTTACTAAGCCGAATCGCTTCAAAACATTGACGTTATTAAAAATATCGCAAAAATATCGTAATATCAATGTTAACTCTCAACCGGGCAAGTGGGTCCGTTGTGGTCCAAGAAGGTGGTTTTTCAATGAATACATATATAAAAACTATATTCTTTTGCAGAAAAGGTGCTGCATTGTATTCTTTGATCCTTTCCACGTATTACAGCCAAAAAAAACGGCGCTCCGTGGAGCTAAATATATTTGCTGGACACAAGCGGGCAAATTGGACCAAAATGGACCCATGGCTTTGTGGCTGTAAAATTGGGAATACATAATATATCATCCAAAGTAATTTTATTCCGGAAACTAGAAAGATGAATCTTTCCAATGCGCAATATACCAATAAAATTGGTTGAACCCTTGAAAAGTTACAGAGACATGTATTCATTTGAATTTTTGTCAAATGTCGAAAACCGCAAACAATAGCCATTTTTCCACCAGAATTGATAATATTTTCTGTGTAAAAGCAATGTGTCATAAAAAGTGGTATAAAGTGGGGAAGTAGGAAGATGCATCTTTCAAACGTGGCATGCTTTAACGAAATTAGTTCAGCATCAGTGGAGGTGTATACTCAAAATTCAGCTCTTAATATGTCAAATTGTAACCACAAAATTTAGACAAAAAAATCAGAGTATTATATCTGTGTTGGTTTTGATTCAATTTTATCGGCATATGGCACGTTTGAGAGATGCATCTTTCTAGCTTCCAGCACAGTCTCACTTTTGAAGATATATTGCGTTTTTTTTCAATTTTACAGCCATAAAACTATGGGCCCACTTTGGTCCACCTTGCCCGACAACTTAAGTGATTTAGCTTGCCCGTCTGCGGGTCAATAACTATTAAAATATTAATGACGGAAAATCTGTAATTGCGTTAATGTAATATATTACATATATATTTGTAAGGCTAATGATATTAGATTATCCAGGTGGTGTTTACGCTCCATATCAACTGTCAAATTCTCATCGCAAGTCAGACGTGTTTCCTTTCTTTACATTCAAATATTATATGAGATACAAATATTTCGCATATATTGGCGAGTTAATAAACTTACATAACCCTGACTCAGTAAATCAACGTCGCGATTAGAAACCACGGCGATAATCAAATTTTCAAACATCGGTGTTGATGAGAAGCACAATAAGGATCCATACATCAATTTTTTCGAATATTTATTAGTGTTAACCAGTTCTGATGAGTTTTGTTCGGAACGAATTTTAGCTTCCAAATCTACCATCAAATATTCACTTTTAAACCTCGTTTTAGAACTTTTCAATTGCTTAACCAGGATTCGAACATTTGGATAAACACGTATATTGAAATTTGATTTTGGCTCTTCTACTGTTTGATTATCTTTCAATTGTTCAATTATTTGAACTATGCCTTCACGAAGCGGACTGATAAAGTCTTCACGTAACAACGCTAAATGAATGTCCAAATATTGTGCAACACTCTCAAAACGACCTTTAAAAAGAAAGATAAAAAATAAAAATAAAAATAAAAATAAAAAAATAATGATAATAACAAGAAAATACCTTTTATAATGTTCGGTTTAACATATGTGAGTAGATTTTGTTTCTGTGTTAGCTCGTCAATACTCGGGTAAATATCCATTTGTTGATATGTTTGATAACATTCTTTATCCTTATCTTTATCTGATTTTGAATCATTCAGTAGCATTTCATACTCAATTTTAAACTGACTTAAAATCAAATCATTATTTTCATTCCCATCGATGATTTTTAAAATGTTTTCAATGAATCCTCCAGGTAATCCAACATACTTTGCAACTGAAGTGGACAATTCTAGAGCATGTTGCCACACTTCTGTATTATTTCGGTGTACAACCACTTTATTATTTTTCTTTTTCTGTTTTGAAAAAGAATTTGGTCGTGGCTTTATCGTTGTTTCTTTTAATATGGTTTCGATTTGATTCCAATAATTACTTATTTTGCGTACTTTATTTAAGAGTGTATTAATATGTTCAGTAAATGGATTCTCAATAAACCTATTTATCACTTTAATAGTTGACAGCATCATTTCAATTGAATTCGATGATCGATTTAATGTTTCAAAGAATCCAGAATCAGTTTGAATTATATCCAAAAATATATTCAAAGGGGTTTGATCCAAAAGAAAGCTCAATTTTTTGAATGAAATTGGCTGAATGTATGATGAGTTGGTACAATTCTTTACCATAAAATTGTTCGCTTTATTTTGATCGGTTGATGTTCTGTTTGTATTTTTTTCATTGGAACAGTAGCTTCCACCATACTCTGAAATTTTTTTGCAGTATTTTAATAATCATATTTCGAAATTTTTGGGAATATAATTTCGGTAACTAATGACCAACCGGAATCGTCAGCATCGGAAATTTTTGATGTAACGAAATGCTCAACATCACTTGAAGGCGCTTGGACTACAAATTCATCTATATCTTTTTCAAACCAATCGTCGTCAGAATTGCTCATGATTAATGACAATTTGAAAAAAATAGTTAAATAAATTTTAGCAACACAACACTTATACTGTCTGCAATCCTATACATAGTATGTGACGTTTTGTCTACATTTAATCTAGTACTTCAATTCTTTTTTTAAAAAAAGGGAATAGAATCATTCATAGATTGTGTTTTGGATATATTTTATTTATTATTGATTGGATTACTGCGGATGCTTTTTGTAGAGTAATTTTGTCAGAACCAGCTGAGATCTGAGACTTGAAACCTGAAACTAGAAAACACGTATGAGTTTCATTGAATAATTTTACTTTATTCTTTCAGAACAAAGAAATTTTCTTTGCATTACATGAAATGTATTTTCAATCGTAATAAATTTGCAGTTGTACATGTATTACGTTCAAATTTCAGTAATTGAAATAGCCGGTAGTTCTACCGGAATCCGGTAGTTTTAAATGAGAAGATTCAGCTCTAAACCTTAATGTACTGTACATTCATTCATTTTACCCAATTTTCGGATATGAAAAATTGCAGTAATAAGCAATTCGAAATGATTATCGTTTATTTCACCTTTTCATTTTATTGACACCGCCAAAAACGGGCTGAATCTTTTGATTTTTGCAGGAGAATGACTCCAAGAGTCATGAAAAACCTGATATTCTCGTGATTATGCAATTGAAGTGTTACATAAATAGTGGTTCTCGACTACTATGAAAATTTGATATGTGAATGTTCTAATCAATAAAGCCATAACCAAAGCATGGAAATGGATAAAGACAGCCGCATGTCAACGGTCCAATAAAGCCCTATCTCAAGGTGTAAAAATGAAAAACTAACTGAAGCGTAAAGCATTGTAATAACGTCCTATATGCAGGGTTGGCATGTAGAAAACTTAATCATGTAATCTACATTTCGTTCATGTAAATTAAATAAAAATTTTGGAGTTCTCTACATGAATTTTGTAGAAAACGTAGAAAACCAAATTGGATTTAAGATATATTTATAAAGAAAATTAGAATTTATCTCAGGATTTCGTAATTATAATGAAAAACATTACCACTATTGGTAAAAATGAATGTAAATTATGTAGTAGGTTTGGTTTCATTGCTGAAATTCCGCTCCTAAAGTGAAAAAACTGACAATTTAATATAGAAAAACGTTACTTTTTTCACGAGCATAATATTACCGTTGCGACAAAAAAATTCCCTCAGAATATTTGAGAATTGAATCGAAGCATGGCATTTGTCTACGAACAAAAAGCAACAACGCAAGTTTTTGAACCAAAGCAACACAAAGCAAATTTGAGAAACAAAGTGCAACATAAAAAATCATGTTGAAGTTTAAAGCCGAAACTTGCTTTGTGGCACTTTGTTTCTAATTGGTGTTGTTTCTATTTGAATCTAATTTCGGGCATGATGCAGTCTGTTTCAAAATTATGATGAGTTGATAACGAGTGCGAATTTCGAGGACGCGAAGACAGTTATCAAAAACAAGACCGTTCTTGAAATTTTAGTTACTTATTCTATTTTGTTGTTTCACAACAAACCATTTTTTGGCGCATTACATGAAATGTATTTCATCAAAGTAACTTTGAAGTAATATATTTATTTGGAACAAAGTACACACAAGCAAATTCCAGTACAAATTTCCCCTCATTTGTTCCGATACGGAGGAGTAAAATAGGAGTAAAAATCAGTGCGACTACTTCAGTAGGGAACGACTGTAAACCTACTTATACATGCGTAAGTTTGACGCTTGCTCCAGACTGAAATAATCAATTGCGCGGATACTCCAGTTAGTGTTGGCCGTCGAACACTTTCGAACGCTTGTTCGTTCGTTCGACATGGTTTTAAAAAAAGGGTTTGTTCGTTCGTTCGTTCGACAATTAAAAAAAACATTTTTTGTTCGTTCGTTCGACAATTTGAAAAAATATTTTTTTGTTCGTTCGTTCGTTCGACATTCATTTTGTTCGATGTTCGGCCCGAACAAAATTTTTTCACATTACAAAATTCGATGTATTGATCAAATTTATAATGTAATCGTTACAGCTCATGCTTTTATTAGCTTTTATTATAATTTTTCATAGTAATACCAATTTTATTCGGGAGATTTTGAAATAAAAAAAACTTTGTTCGGACCGAACATCGAACAAAATGAATGTCGAACGAACGAACGAACAAAAAAATATTTTTACAAATTGTCGAACAAACGAACGAACAAAAAATATTTTTTTTAAATTGTCGAACGAACGAACGAAAAAAAAATTGTTTTTCAAATTGTCGAACGAACGTTCGAAGCCATTACTAACTCCAGTATAGAGCAAGCGTCAAACTTACGCATGTATAAGTAGGTAGACAGTCGTTCCCTACTGGAGTAGTCACACTGATGTTTACTCCAGTTAAGAGTGTATGCGTAATACTCCGTATCAGAATAAAAGAGGGGAAATTCGCACGTGGATTCGCTTGTGTGTACAGAAGATAAATTCTCAGTTATTTCAAAAATGAATTACAAGATCTTGGTTTTATTTCTTTTTTGAAATATACTGCCTTTGGTTTAAATTAAATAAATAATATGAGCATAGATCTAAAGCCACTTTAATTCTGTTCAAGACCCAGAAAATACTGAACGAAAAAAGCTTGAAATAATGTAATTAAAAAAAATTATCATAAGAATTTGATTGGCGCTTTGAGTTATTATGCACTTATTTGTCGTTAGTGCCACTGTTTTAAATTAAATAAAAAATATGAGAATAAAATTCAAATTCACCATAATTTGTTTCAGTACTCAAAAAGTATTAAGAAAAAAAACCAGATTAGTAGCTCTACATTTCATGTAGTGCTAACGAGGACTGTCCTCCTGAAACGAGGACGTCTCTGCACATTGACTATAATAACCATAGTTGGCTCAGAAAAACTTCAAAAATTCGCGCCGATATATTTTTTCTGCATTTATTTTCAAAATAAAAAGAAAAAGATGGAAAAAATCGAAATTTTACCCCCGTTTTTAATAAGTTGTCAACGGCTGGAAATATTCGAAGAAATTCGATAATTTTAGCACTTTTACATACAGGGTGGGCCAGAATAACTGTCGGTTTTATTTTCAAGTATGAATTACACATTGTGTAAGATAATTGGGTACTAAATATTTTTATTCCAGCCGCCAAATTTGGTTTTCCAAAAATATTGGTCGAGTTATAGAATCTACACACAAATCCTTACTTTTACTTTGAAGGATTGCGAGCTAAGTTGTGGCCAAACAGTCTTTGGATCATTGGATTTCGAAGGCATGTGGGCACTGCCCACTGGGCAGAAAAGAAGAAAAAAATTCTAGAGAAAATGGCAGCCATTAATCAATGTTCATGAAATCACATTCTTCTGATTTTGGCACATTTTCGTTCACCAATTGTTTATACATAGAGTTATTGTAAATCAAGGGAACGTTATATGCAATTCTTTTTCATTGCGTTAAATAGCATATAATACTAATGAATAAAATCGTAAGCAATTGAACAATCGTAATTAGCAATGTATAGAAATCTCGATCTTTCAAACCATATTTTTCGCGGCGCGCAACCGTTTTTGGGAGTTTTAGACACCAAATTGACAGTCATTTGTATTTGAATTTGAATCAAATAGTGGCTACGCAATCTTTGAACCCTTATTATCTATTTAAAGGTGTCAAACGGACGAACTGTCCGTCTTTTTAGCCCGTCCGTCCGTCCGTTCAGGGCTCTTGAAATTTTTTTTGTCCGTCCGTCCGTCCGTTCAGAGCCGCTTAAAATTTTCTTGTCCGTCCGTCCGTCCGTTCAGAGCCCCCAAAAAATTTTCTTGTCCGTCCGTTTAAAGAGCCCTGAACGGATGGACGGACGGACAAGAAAATTTTTTGAACGGACACCTTTATATCTATTGACAAAAATATCCGAAAAATTATCTAAACTTTGACGTGAATACCGACTATGTATTGATGTTCAAAAATTACGTTTAAACGCGCTTCTGATTGGCATCGTATCCCATTTGGCGCTATTTCAGAAAAAGTATGCATTTTGATCAAGTGTTTATTGGTAAATAAGATACGTAAAACATCAACAAATATAAAGGTAAGCAGTTGGTTTAGTTATTTTATATCGTATTTAAAAAATTATATTAGAAAAAAGGCCGACAGTCATTCTGGCCCACCCTGTAATCTACTTTATGGACATTAGCGCGGAAATCTCGATCAAATTGTATGCAAGTGAAGTATTGGGTCTGGGAATTAATCGTGTCGATTTTTCAAAAGATGGCGTAACTTTGCATGGTTGTATCGGGCAATACTTTTTTCTTTTTCACATGAGTGGTCTAGTGTCAAACTACAAAAATCATCATCTATCATTTCATCGAAGTTTGGATAAACATTTTTTTTTGCGCCTTAAATATGTCAAATTTTGTACCGAAAAAGCAACATTTCCCGCAAGCATTAATTTTTTGCTTTCATTTGAAGAAAACTGCGGCTGAAGCGCATCGAATGTTGGTGGAAGCCTATGGTGAGCATGCTCCATCGGAACGTACATGTGAACGGTGGTTTTCACGGTTCAAAAGTGGTGATTTTAGCACGGAAGACAAGGAACGTCCCGGCCAGCCAAAAAAGTTTGAAGATGCGGAATTGGAGGCATTGCTCGATGAAGATTCGAGTCAAACTCAAGATGAGCTTGCCAGAGCATTGAATGTTGACCGAAGCACTGTTGGATATCGTTTAAGGGCCCTTGGTTTCATTCGCAAGTTGTCAAATTGGGTACCACATGAATTGACGCCAGCGCAAGCTGAAAGGCGTTTAGTGACTTGCGAAATGCTGCTCGCAAGGCACAAAAAAAGAGGTTTTCTGTATCGAATTGTCACTGGTGACGAAAAATGGATTCATTACGATAACCCCAAGCGCAAAGCATCGTATGTTAAGCCCGGCCAACCAGCAACATCACAGCCAAAACAAGAAATTCACGGCGACAAGGTAATGCTGTCTATTTGGTGGGATGAGGAGGGAGTGGTGTATTATGAGCTGCTGAGAAGTGGTCAAACCATCGATGGGCCCTTCTATCGACAACAATTGATACGTTTGAAACAAGCAATCAAAGAAAAACGCACGAAATGGGAGACCAGAAAAGAGACATTGATTTTCCTACATGACAATGCTAGGCCACACATTGAGAAATCGGTCAAAAACTACTTGGAAAATAGCGGATGGGAAGTTTTGGCTCACGCCCCGTATAGCCCAGACCTGGCTCCTTCCGACTACCATTTGTTT